TGGGTTTCCGAGGCAGTATCACTACGGAAGTAGGAATGCCCAACCTTCCTTCCGAGGAGTGGCTGGTGGGTTTGAACCACCAGCCTTCTGGTTAGTAGTCAAGTGCCTTAGCCACTATGCTACCAGAGCTCTTCTTACAAAGGATACATGTCTCTATTTTACCAAATCTTCAAAATACCTGAACTCTTAGGAAAAATATAGTTATTAATAACACCACAAACAACACTCAAAATAATATATCACTGCTCGCCTCACTTCTGTCAAAATAAATTTGAGTTAAGATGTCTTTCTGTTAAAGGCAGCCATGCTATTGTACTAGTAGGGGTGATTGCAACAAAGAAAACCATATTTGAGTCCAGTGACTCTACAGATGACTTCAGCTGCTAGTGAAGGAAGCTGAATGCAGAGGTTTTGAGTTTCAGGAAGATAGTGTTCCAGTTAGATCACTCCCATCAGATCATAGAAGTTGGATCACTTGCTGGTACATGAAACTTAACTACACTTGAGGTTTTAAACTCCTGTCTGGGCTCTGGAGAAGGATGGAGGCGGTGAAGGCAATAGTCTTCATTTTTCACCTATAATAAAACTGGAGGAAGGCACTGTACCTGGAGGATCCAGCACTGAGCAAATACTGGTGGTACCAACTTCATACTCCTCAAGGAACTGGGTTCCAGTCCTGGTTCTGACTAAAGATGTCATCTGGTCTTGGGCAATGGTATCCCCTTGGCCTTCAGCTTGAGCACCTGTATCAGAGACTGGCAAACTATAACACAAGGATCAAATCCAGGTTGTTCTTGTTTTTGTAAATAACATTTTATTGCAACATCGCCATGCCCACTATGTGTATGACTGCTTTTGCACTACAACAACATAGTTGAGTAGTTGCAATAGAGACCATATATCCCACAAAGCCTAACCATCACTACCACCCACTGCCATAGAGTTGATTCTGACTCATAGTGACCGCCATTGGGTTTCCAAGGTTGTAAATCTTTACAGAAATAGATTGCCTCATCTTCCTCCCATGGAGCAGCTGGTGGGTTTGAACTGCTAACCTTCTGGTTCACAGCCTTAACCACTATGCCACTAGCACTCCTTCACAAAGCCTAAAGTATCCCACATAGCCTAAAGTATTTACTATCTGGCCATTTACAGAAGTTTGGTGATTCCTGACTTATGTTATAAGAAAGTTAACTGAATGTTTACACCTAGAGTGTGGGTGCAGACACCCCAAGGGGTACACAGCCATAAAATGGGCATAGTCATAGTCCTTTCTACATAGAATTAAATATATAATAAGCGTTAAGGCCAGGGCACATAATGTATATTAATGTTATTTTTATTTCTATTATTGTTATATACCCATTCCACACTTATCAACATGGTCAGGTTCTAACGATCAGGTCTTTATACAAAAATCAGCATTATGCAAAAATGGAGGATGACCACATCAGGTCACAAGATGGAGGATGACTACATCTTTAAATAACTGCCAAATTACATCCTCACATAACTGCCAAACCACTGAGGATCATGGCCCAGCCAAGTTGACACATAACCTTAACCATTATAGCCAGTGTTACTGTCACCTCACACCTTGGCATTCATTGTTGCCAGATGTATCTTGTTAATGTGCAAACCAGTTAGATAGTAGATTTTTTACTATTGTCATAAATATATTTTGGACAATGAGATAGTTGATAAGTGAAGAATAAGTGTACAGACAATTTTGGGTGTGGGAAAATTATGAGAACTTTTATTTATATTTATCTTCTAACCTATAAAAAAAGAAATTAAGCCTTGCTAACACCCATGATATTAATACTCAAGTTTACATATATACTTCATACATAAATTAGTTCTTCACAATCTACTACTACTAATAGCTTGCATTTACTGAGCATTTACAGTGGCAGGGAGCATTCTACAAGCTTTACACAAATTAACTGACTGCATCATAATAACTATGAGGAAAGTTCTATTATCTCCACTTTACAGATGAGATAACTGAGGCACAGAGAGGTCGAGTAACTTGCCCCAAATCATGTAGCTAGTGAATGGCAGATCTGAATAAACTCAGAGAATCTGGCTCCTGAGTCCCTTTGAGTTTACTCAGATCTATCATATATTGGCTGTATTTTTTCAATTAAAACATTTTTTGTAATCAAAGTGAGCATATGATCAGTGAGGTGTGGAGGGTCTTGTTATGCTGTCCAACATGGGGTTTCATAATTAACCTCTTGCTTGGGCAGCTATCTGTGTCTGTGGCACTTTGGGTTGGGGAAGACTGACAGCTCCTCCCAGCTCCTAACATGCTCTCTTCCTCCCTCAGCCCACCCGGAGAGAGCTGCCCTGCTGTTTGTGTCCAGTGTCTGCATCGGCCTCGTCCTCACATTATGTGCCTTGGTCATCAGAGTATCCTGCACCAAGGACTTCCGTGAGCTGCAGCTGGGGAGGGAGCATCTGGTGCCAGCGAGTGACAAGGCCCAGGAGGACATCGAGGATGAAGAGGAGGAGGAGGGCTCTTCAGACTCAGATTTTCCAGGAGAACTGTCGGGGTTTTGTAGGACTTCATATCCCATCTACAGTTCCATAGAGGCTGCAGAGCTAGCAGAAAGGATTGAACGCAGAGAGCAAATCATTCAGGAAATATGGATGAACAGTGGTTTGGACAGCTCACTCCCGAGAAACATGAGTCAGTTCTACTGAAAACCAGATGTGTCTTGATGCAATCACACTTTCTGAAGAGGGAAGGATCCAGAATGCCCCTCCACTTCTGTTTCACTTGTACCTTCTATGAAGGAGAATTTATCATGACATCCAAGACTGATGAAGCCAGAAAATATGAAAACAGACATTTCAAACAGTTTACAGCACATTCCAAAATAAATGAGGAGGGAGCAAGCCTTTGTTTTCTGTGTTTATTTAAATTCATGTCTATACATTAACATAATTGGAGTTCACATTTATCAAGCACTTATAATGCACTATTCTAGCTGATTTTCATATATTAAGTCATTTATTTCCCACAACAACCTCGTGAGATAGTACTATTACTCTCATTTTACACACTAGTACATGGAAGCACTGTATATAGCCATATGGGAATTATACTGATACTCCAGACAGCAAATATGAGCTAATACATTACATGCTCATTATTGATGAACTTGATATTAAATTATATTAATTGTTTGTTTAATATCATTGATATTAATTGTTAGAGCCAAAGTCAGCAAACTTTCTCCGTAAAGGGTTAACTGGTAACTATTTTAGGCTTTGTGGGTCATATGGTCTCTTTCACAGCTATTGAACTCTGCTTGTACACAGTGAGCAGCCATAGACAGTATGTAAACAAATAGGAATGGCTGTGTTTTAATTAAGCTTTATTTATGGACATTGAAATTTGAATTTCATTTACTTTTCATGTCACAATGCATTCTTCTTCATTAAACTCAAACCAAACTCACTGCCATTGAGTCAATTCTGACTCATAGTGACCCTCTTTGGGTGTCTGAGGTGGTAAATCTTTACAGAAGTAGATTGCCCAGTCTTCCTTCTGTGGAGCAGCTTGTGGATTTGAACCGCCAACCTTCTGATTAGCAGTCAAATGCCTTAGGCACTGCGCCACCAGAGCTCCTTTCTTCTTCATTCATTGTTTTAAAATGTGAAAACTATTCTTAGCTCCAGAACTGTGCAAAAACAGGCAACAGGCTGGATCTGGCCCACTGACTGTTACTATAAATAGAATATGGTCCACAAAGCCTAAAATATTTAGTCTTTGGCCCATTACAGGGAAAAAAAAATATGCCAACTCTTGGTTTAGAGCCCAGAACTTCAGACCTTCTGGTGATAAAAGCAATTAACCAGATTACCCAGAATTCCCTTGACCAAGGATCCAGTGGAGATAAATAGTTGCAAAAAACGGGTTGTTCCACATTGAGGAGAGGAAGTTGGGGAGGAAGTGAAAGAGGAGTTAAGGAGAATGAACCTTGTGATGGAGAGCTCATGAGGGGTTCCTTTGGAATACACCTCCTGGTGGACAGGAGGCTTCTTGCCATGGAGTAGAGTAAGAAAGGACTTTTTTTCTTTTTAGCCCCAGTGGGGCTGGGAGAGGAGTCCCTGAGTGGTGCAAAGAGTTAGTGCACACGGCTGCTAACTGAAAGATTGGAGGAGGTTCAAGTCCTGGGAGAGGTGCCACAGAAAAAAGGCCTGGTAACCTACTTCCCAAAAAATCAGTCATTGTAAACCCTGTGGGGCACAATTCTACTCTGACACACATGGGATGGCTATGAGGTAGAACTGGCTCAGCAACTGGTTTGAGGCTGAGAGAATAAAAATAATCATGCTACATCTATCTCATATTCCTACTACAAATGATCCCTCCTCACCTCATTTAACCATTACATCAAATTGTGCAAGCAGGCAAATGTGAATTACACATTGTGGATGAGGAGGTGGAAGTCTGACAGGTTAAATTTAGGGCCCCAAATCCACCCAAGGCATGCCACCATCAGGAAATACATACCTGTTCCATCAGAGTCCTGCACTTCTCTTTAAGGCCCACAGGTCAAGATGGTGAAAGGCCCATCTGCAGAAAGCACAGTAGGGGAGGAGTGGACTGAGGAGGTCTCTATCATCAACTGGCCTAGCTGCCTGAATTGGTGAGTTGTCTGTGGTATTTTAACAGCAGTGAAGTACACACAAAATGGCAGCCACTGGCAGAGGCGCTGAGAAATTATAAGGTTCCCATTCAGTAGAGATAAGGGAATAATGAAGAAGTATCAGAGGTGACAGCCTTCATCCCTACTCCTTGCCTCCATTACTTTCAAAGTGACCCTTTCCGTACATTCGTCAGTGTGTGCATGAGAGAGGAGGATGGGAGACAGGATGAGTCAGGAGGGGTTGCAATATGGACAGGCTGGGGTGACTTCGGTAGAGACCTTCCATACATAATGCAGGGGATGAGAAAAAGTCACAGGATCAGAGATGACACATATTAAATCTCATTACAAATAAATGTGATTTCTAGATCACAGCAGAGAATAAAGGGTGTGTATAGCTCCATTGTCCTTTATAAGGATTTTGTTCTAATCAAAGAGAATCCTTGGCTTTGAGTTTCCCTGAGCTCAGCAAGGAGCATTTTGATATTACCCCAACTCCCAGAGCAGTTTTCTATTGTCTCCATTTCTAATCTTGAGCAAACTCTCTAGCTCTATGAGCAGTTGTTGTTGTTATGTGCTGTCGAGTCAAACCCAACTCATAGCGACCCCTCCTTGGGTTTCTGAGGCAGTATCACTACGGAAGTAGGATTGCCCAACCTTCCTTCCGAGGAGTGGCTGGTGGGTTTGAACCGCCAGCCGTCTGGTTAGCAGGCAAGTGTCTTAGCCACTATGCTACCAGAGCTCCCCTATGAGCAGAGATACTGTCAATCTGATGGTCGTCTTCTCCGGCTGAAAAGGACATGGCGGCTGAAGGTTTCATTTCACCATTTCTTGAAGGAGTTGTTTGTTCCCACACTGACCTCAGTCGCTGAGGCTCTTGTTGAATTTCACATTGTTTTTCCCTTATGTGAGTCTCCCCTGCCACAACCGCGCACGTGCACGCGCGCGCGCACACACACACACACACACACCATCTCAGGACCCTTGCTGAGGCATCTGGATGACAGACCTGCCAAGACTTGAAGGCCCACTGCGAGGGTCAGTCTTGGTCCTGTGCAAATACAGTGAGTTGTGTATTTGCATTTTCTGAGCCCTGAAGAATGAAAGGAGCCTGTAGGATCCCACTGAGAATGTGTTTGGTTGGGCACAAAGCCCAGGAGGAAAAATGACCAAACCAGATTTGGATGAAGAAGGCTTGACAGAGCACGGTGGCTGGAGGAAGCTCCTGGGCGAGTCCAAGTCTGGCATTGTGGGGCACACATGGGCTTTGTACATCTAAGCTGCAGAAGCCCTGCAGTTTCCACATTGTGGGGTCCCAGAAGTGCTGTGCAAGCAGGCCACTCCTCAGTGGGAGGTTTTTACATGTTGCTACATCAGTCACTTGCTGCAAATGCTAATTTTCAACACCAGCTGCCTGCTGCAAAATTCTATTTTTCTAAATGCCCCCAAGCTCATTAGGAGGAATGCTGATGCTTTGTAGATGCCACAGCATCTGCAGCCCCTTTAGAGAAAAGCAGCCCACCCCAGGGGCCACGCAGTCTCTGGGGAGCCCCCCAGTTGACCCCACAAATGGTGTAGTACCTGCTGGTGCCCCTAGCAGTCCCTGCTGGTGCCGCCTCTTTACCAAGTTATTTACCCATCCCCCAGCTGCCCTGAGGGATGGCTGTGAATAGCTCACATTTGCCTACTTCTCCAGAGAATTGGCCCCCCATCTCTTTCTCAAAGAGGTTCTCCTAAGAGCATTCCTTCAATAAATCAATCACTCCTACAAGACTCTTGGTCTTAAGAAGCTGACCTAAGAAATCAGGTGGGGCCTGATGGTTATGTGCCAGTCCCTATTGGCCCCCACTGCTGGCACAATGTCACCTGCAGCCTTAGTGGGAGCCAGACCTGTGGAATATCAGGAACCCTCCCCACTCGGTGCTCACACACTTGCCACCTGATAAGGCTTGAGGAAAGGGGGCCCATGAGAGCATCAGTTCCACCTCCTTTTAAATCTCCCCCACCCTTCTCCATAGGTCTCGGGAAAACACTTTATGCTCCAGGTTACCTGGGGAACTGTATTAGTTTCCTAGCACTGCAGTAACAGAAATACCACAAATAGCTGGCTTTAAAGAACAGAAATGTATCATTCTACAGTCTGGGGGGAAAAAGGTCAAATCAGGGTCTCAGCTTTATTGATTCCTCCTTTGTTGGTAGTCCCAGGCATTCCTTGGTTCCTTGGCTTATAGACAATCCTTACAGGGCATCTGTCCTCTTCCCTGTGTGTGTGTGCCTGTCTGTGTCTAATATGCTCTTTTTGTAACTCAGAAGTGATTAGGTTTAGGACCCATCTACACGGATATGGCCTCATTAACATAACAAAGAAAACCCTATTCCCAAGTGGGTTTCCATCCACTGATGTGATGTTGTTAGGTACTGTCCAGTCAGTTTTAATTCATAGAGACCATATGAACAATAGAATGAAACACTACTCGGTCCTGCGCCATCTCACAATCATTGCCATGCTTCAGCCGATCATCACAGCCACTGTGTCAAGCTATCTTGTTGAGGGGCTTCCCCATTTTGGCTGACTTCCTACTTTACTGAGCTTGATATCCTTCTCCAGGAAGTGTTCCTTTCTGACAACATGACCAAAGTACAAGAAACAAAGTCTGGCCATTCTCACTTCAAAGGAGCATTGCCAGACACTCCTTGGAAGGAACATTGGGCAATCTATTTCCAGAGAGATACTGCCTCGGAAACCCAAGGAGGGGTCACTATAGTCGGGATCGACTTGATGGCAGAGAGTGAGTGTGTGTGAGTGAAGGCTCATTGCGGGTGTATTTCCTCTAAAACAGATTTGTTCATTCTTCCAGAAATCCACGGTACATTCAATATTCTTCCCCAACACCACAACTCAAATGCATCAATTCCTGTTCAGTCTTCTTTATTCATTGTCCAACTCTCACATGCATCAAAAATACCATAGCTTGGGTTGAGTGCACCTTAGTCTTCAAAGTGTCATGTTTGGTCTTTAACACTTTAAATAGGTATTTTGCAGCAGATTCGCCCAATGCAGTATGTCGTTTGATTTTGAGTGCTGCTTTCATGGGTGTTGATTGTAGATCCAAGTAAAATGAAATCCTTGACAACTTCAAATCTTTTATCCATTTATCATGTTGCTTAATGGTCCGGTTGTGATGATTTTTATTTTCCGTATGTTGAAAAATAATCCATACAGAAAGCTGTGTTTGATCTTTGATCTTCATCAGT